TTTAAGTTAATCCAAAATTTTTCAGCTTTAGTGCAGATTTTCAGATTTAGTGTAAAACTGGGATAAGTAAAAATGATGATTGGGATGAAGATGACGATGACTTATTTGCCTGCATTAGCACACATGAAATCTTAGATCAAAACGAGAAGATCAATATTAATAAAAATGATAAGTTTCCCAATATATCTAAGTTTCAAGCAAATAAGCAAATAACCCAAGGTATGGATTCCTCACCCTTTTTTGATGCTTATTTTTATAATTTGTTTTTTATTTCTGCACGTTTTCAAACAGCGTGCAGAAAAGTGGAAGTGATGGTGATGAGGATAACTTGCTTTGTATAAAAAATAAATTGTTTCGAAAAAGCAAAGCATGCTATCGGAGAAAAAAGCTTTTAATACATCTTCAACAAGCAGGAAAGAAGAAGTAGTAATAGTAGTAGAAGAACTGGCCTTTCCTGTTGCTGTATATTAATTTATATAATTTATATTTAACTATAAACAGCTTTATTTATATAATAGCTTTAGTATACATTTAAAATACTTTACTAATATATATAAATTTTAACAGGGATAAACCTCTGTTAAAATGCAAAGCCGTCGGGAAAGTAGTGAAAACTTTCTTGTTGTCTTTTCTACCTTTTTTCGTTTAAAATAATATATAAAATATACAAGGCCTTGTCATATATTTTATCTCTGTTCAACACTTTCTCTTACTTTTTAATATTTGCATTTGGCTGCATCAGTCTAATTGCATCTAAGCGTTGTCAGTTAGACCAATACGTGGCCATCTATTAGTTGATATTCTTTTCACGTGCAAGCCGTTAGGGGGCTACATAATTAAGTGTTATTCCTATTTTCGAGTTGGAACTACAACTTTGGCGACTTTTTACAAAACTTTATGGGAATTTACAAATCATATGGTTTGCACGTAAAACACAAATAAAGCAAAAAGAAAAAAACGCACAACACGCATTAAAGGCAATTTATTTTAAAATTTTAAAAGTTATCTAATTTATGTGTATCTTGCACTTTTTTTGTATTATGCGATATACAATTTGGGTTTACACTATGTATTATTTGAAACTATTGATATGAAAAACAAGCTATGAAGACCATTTATTTTCAAGCTGAAATGCATTCATCAAATTGTTTTCAAAAACATTAATGGATGGTAGTTTTCAAATTATGAATCAGTTAATACATAAATATACCTCATATATATATGTATCGACATATACATAATAAAAATCGCCTTTATCACTAATCAATAAATAAGCGTGTTTCTTTGTATATTAACTTTCTTATTGCTATTTTTTATAAATTTATTGTTTACATTTGAGTTGATTTCCTTATTTTTGGCTTTAAACTTATATGTTTTTGTTTACATTTTCCCGTAGCACGGCTGACGTGCTTACCGCTTGGGGGCTTTTAAGCCAAAAATGAAAATGACGCCTCATTGTGTCGGCCCGCAAAGAGAAAAATACATGCAAAATCATATCATTTGTCAATTCCCATAAGGCTTCGTAAACGTGATAGAAAGATCGATAAACAATTATAAAGTAATCGATAGTTAGAAATCTAAACAACACCTTTGGATGGATTATAGTAAGCTACCATAGCTAAGTATTTTAGTTTAGTACGGTTATATATCTGGTATTTAAGCATAAACAATAAACTTTGTTATATACTTAATAATCGTGACTTCATGAATATTTTTTTCGGGTTAATAAAAAATAGGGACGTCTATTAGACGGCAACGTCTTAACATAACTCTCTACTTTGTTTCCATATATTAATCTATTTTATATTTTGAGCAAAAAATAGGAGAAGCTTCGAATTTTCTCTACAATATACTAACAGAATTAAATTGTAACAAAATTCGTTTGATTACAAATTGAAGCGATGACAAAATTATCTAACTTCCCATAGGTTAGATTGAGCGGTTTTTTTGGAAAAGGCATGATAACTCTACGATTGGTTTTTGGTTATTTGTGGATTGTATGGATTTTATAAAAATGTATTTTATGGAGTATGGCAACTCTTTAATTCTTGGTAGGCTTAGGAAATATTTGCAGACTTGTAAAAATTTTCAATCGTTAAAAAATCAAAGAGGAATTAATTGCGATTAAATAACTGGACATGTTAACTGTAATTTTAAAATTTTAAAAAATCGTAGTCCAGCTTTGGTTAATTTTTACTTTATAGCCAGTATATATGTTCGTATATGTTTGTACGTGTATGTTAGAAGTGTGTTAAAACCATGAAAGTTGATATGACAAAAGTAAAAAAGGGCTCTTCGGAGTTGACGCCTGAATGTCTTCATTTAATAAATGAGATATCTCAATGTAATAGTTCCGTCGAACTGTTAAACTTTCTAGAAAAGGTAAAAGTATGGGTCTACGGTAAATGCGAATTATACCATTGGATTAACACATTGGATAGATTCGATGGTATTTTAGAAGAAGCTGCGAAACCTGTTAATGGCAACGAGCATATTTTGCAATGTGACGTCTCATTCTCTGACCAGGTAAAGTTTTTTCTATTTAATTGGAAAAATCATGTCAACCTTAACATTTATAGGTTAATTACTTATTCTATTTTCCTAATTTGGTTCTTATTTTATAATTATTAAAACTAAATTACTTTGCAAAGCTGCATTAATACTTCCATTTTTTTTTTTTTATTTTTTTTTAATATATTTCAAGGATGTGCGTTTGTTACTTTCCGTACTACATTTTACAACGCTCTTGATAGAGCATTCATTTTCTCGGCATCTATATAACTCTATTGAGCATCTTACAGAGTTATTATCATCTGGAAATATGGATATCGTGCTAGCGATATTAAACCTACTCTATATGTTTTCAAAACGCAGCAATTTCATTCCTCGTCTATCCTTGGCTAAGAAGGATATTTTACTGCGAAAACTTTTTAATATTGCTGAAGTAAAATATATAAATTTTTTATATATATATATATATATATGCGTGAACTAATGTCTTTATATTTTTATTTTAGAGATGGGGTGATCCAAATAATGGTCTATCCTTAATTGACTGTTGCCTTAGGAAACCAAAAGATGAGTTTCTTAATCAATTATTTATCGAATATGTCAATGAAAAGGGCCAAAGGGTAGTTTTGGAGATACCAAACATGAAGTCACTTTGCCAAAAATATTCTTCCAGTGAAGTAGTAAAAATACTTTGCGAAGGCATACCGAATCCGCCTGAAGAAGTTAAGGTAATCTATGCAGAATATAACAATTTGCTATCGTTGCTTAGGCCATCGCATAAATTATTTCAAACCGTTATTGCAACTCGCAGGTGCTAAAGATGTTTATTAAGAGAAAAGTTCGTAAGAATTTCAATGAAAATTGTTTATTTCCATATTTTGTTGTTGTCACAAAATAGTTATATCCTTCAAAATAATTTACTTTCAATTTTACTTTCTAGCTTGTTCACTGAAATATAAACTAGCTGGGAAATGTGGTATTCACTTATGAGTGGTTTTATCAATTAGAAGAATCATATCTAATGCTAAGTAACATTTTTGTGAACCCATTTTCCAAATTTACTTTTTAATAAGTTTTTTGGCTACTTAGCTTGCTCCTTCATTCAGTCCTCTGAATTGAATCAAATGGCTTCTTAAATTTTTGCACTCATATTTGTATATATATTTCATTTTAATTAAGATATGAAAATTTTAGGTGCACATTTAAATGCACAGGCAAACCATTTTTGATAAGTCTTCAATAGTTTAATAAATGTCTTAAAACATTAAAAGCCCGATTTTTAATCGTCAATAAAGTGCTACATAATAACTTAAGCTACTATGGCACATTTTAAAAAATTTCAATTGCAAAGAACATTCTAGTCCTGACGTAAAGGACAGCGAACTTTTAGATCTCAATTTCCCGTTTCATCGACATCACAGAACCACTCACATTGTTCAAACACGAAAACAATCTTTTTCATTTTTTACTTACTTACAAGTAAAGCCGATTATCCAAAAAACTGCATTTCCACTTTATAATAAGAAAGCAACTTTTGGTGTTTGATTTTGGACATATTTCCAATGTTACAAAATCCAACCTTGTAATAAAGATAAAAGTAATAAATCTCTTAGTTTGGTTTGACTTTGTTTCGGTTGTCCCACTTTCAATATTAAAAGCTGCTATCTCTACGTATATAAAATTGTTGAAGGAAATAAAGAGAAATCTTTGAACATTTTTCCATCATAGGGCGAAATCGTTAGCAAACATCAACCAATATAACTGAGTACTTATTGTCATTGTCATGATTTTCACATCTAATATTATGAACTTTAATATATTTAGATGCGTATTGCCCACAGAGTCAGATTAGTCTCTGGATTTAGAAATATGAAACTCCGACTTCAATTTGTTCAAGCTCGTCTACAAGCAATTTCAGTTCTTATATATTCTAATGCGCTTCAAGATAATGTGGAAAGAGTTCTTTACACTGGAATTGGAGAAGAACTTTGCGAGTTGATTGATCGTCAAGACAAGCATTTAATAGACATACGTGCAGCTGTTCTAAGGACGCTTACGTCAATGTTACATTTTGACCGTAATCCAAATATTCCCAGGTATATTATAATAATTTCTCTAGCTATAGGCGATTTCTTATATCCTATTTGTAAAAATTTTTTTAAGACCCGGATCGAGATTATCAAAAATAATATATTATACCGGGGCAGAAAGGCAGACGGGAATGTTACCACGATTAGTGAAAGACTGCATTTCTAATTTGACTAGTGATGTTGAAAATTATAATTATCCGTTAGCATTGGCCACGTCTCTATTTAGCCTATTATATCATTTGGCTAGTTATGAATCCGGGGGACAAGCTCTCATAAAAAGTGGTATGATGCAGTCACTTTTGCGAGTAATAAGTTGGACTGGCGTTGATCTTGAGCACATTACCTTCGTTACTCGAGCTGTTCGAGTTATTGACCTTATAACTAATATTGACATTGCTAAATTTCATCAAAATAATGGAATAAATATTTTTATCGATCGACTGGAAAAAGAGGTATCTATATGTCGTGAAGTCATAACTAGGGAACTTGTAAAAAGTCAATCTGATGATACCGTTGACGAGATTTCCAACCCGAAAGGTATATTTACATAATTAAATAATATTTTAGATGTTGACGCGACCATTCTTGCTTACCTTTTTCTTTTAGAATTAGACCATGAAAGTGATGATTCAAGTAATTCTGTTCGCATGGATTCTAAATGCTCTGCCGTAGCTGATAAAAATGAATATCCAGAATATAGTAGTTACGCAAAATCATCCAAAGAGCGTTTAAGTAATAAATTCGTTATAACACGGAACACGAAATCAAATAAGATTGCTTGCGTTACACAAAGGGCAGCGCTTCTAAAGTCCATATTAAACTTTGTTAAGAAGTCTATACAAGATCATGCACACTTTAATGGAACCCGCAATATAATGGAAACAAGTTTACCAAATTCTTTGCATCATATTATCTTCAATGCCGAATTTTATGGTCCTTCTCTATTCTTACTGGCTACTGACGTTATAATTGTCTATGTTTTTAATGAACCCTCTTTACTTTCCTCTTTGCAAGACTCGGGCCTAACAAAAGTAATATTACAAAGCCTACTAGAAAAGGAGGTACCAGCCACTAGAGAAGTTTTAGCTTCATTACCAAACGTCTTTTCTGCACTCTGCTTAAACGAAAGAGGTTTAATGGAGTTTATGTCGTATAATCCGTTTGATAAGCTATTGAAAGTTCTATTGTCGCCAGATTATTTAGTTGCTATGCGTAGACGCCGCTCATCAGATCCTTTAGGAGATACATCAACCAATTTAGGAAATGCGATGGACGATTTAATGAAACATCATCCATATTTAAGAACGGATGCAACCGAAGCGATTGTTCGTTTGCTCAATGAATTAGTGCGTTTAGGTTCAGATATAAACTATATATGTTGGCGTGCTAACAAAGACAATAATGCGAATTGCGGCTACAATAAGGTCAATATAACGGGCGATGCCAATCATACTGAAACTGCCCGCAGTTCAAATAATTTTAGCAATACCCCCGACGCGGAAGACAACGGCAATGACAGCAGTGGAGATGATGATGAAGATGACGATGAGGTATCATCTGTGTCTCAGCAGCAAACTCAAACAAGTCAAATTCCAGAAGCGTGCATGCCGCACGGAGCTTCAACGAAAATTGTCGAAAGAGAGCCAATTCCGTTAATCGACTATATCTTAAACGTTATGAAATTTATTGAGGCTATTTTTAGCAACAGCTCAAATGGTGAAAACTGTAGAGAATTTGTTCTTTACGGTGGTCTAAAGCCATTGCTACAATTGCTTTCTCTACCAAATTTGCCCGTTGACTCGCCAATTTCAACTACGGCACTGGCTGTAGCTAATGTCGCCAAATCTATTCTGAACGTATCTCATGAAACAAAAGTTATCGATATTTCGTTACAGCAACTGCTGGAAATTGTTGATCAGTTAGAGCCACTCATTTTACAATTCGATTTTCCTAACGGAAGTATTCTTTTCCGCGAACTATTATCGTGCCCGAATGTTAACGAAGGATTTTCGAATGCTGAGTTTACTCCTTTACTACATAAAATGAGTGCCGTACATGGTTATGTTGTAATGCTTGTGCATCTATGTCGAAATGCTTCAAACGATATGCGTTCAATATTGCTAAGGCAATGGGGAAGCGAAGCTGATATTGGCCTACGCCTATTACAAAAATTGGTAAAATTGTATATATCACTAGTTTGGGAAAGTACAATACTCCTAAATATGTGTTCTGAAGAATCGCTTAATCAAACAGCTTTATCGTTCAGCTGGAGCAATATGATGTCATTTCCGATAGAGGTTGAAAGGAAAAATGCAACGCATACAAAAAGTAACAGTGATGAAGCACGAACGCCCGACGATCATCAAAATGCGTTAAAAAGCAAGGTAAATAATGCACAAATTTTTTTTTTGTTTTTTTTTTTTTTGCCCAAAGTACCGCATGTTAATATTTTCTATTCGTTCGATCGATTACGCTTTTCTCACTAATATCAAATAAGAAGAAAATTGAAAATTATCTTTAGCTTATATTACAACCTATATAAACATTTTTTTTTTTTTTTTTTGTCCATTTTAATGATAATGAGCGACTTGATAGCATTTGAAATACTAATCCTTTTGGTGGTGGTAAGTTTCAGTCGTATCGTATTTTGCGTTGGGAACAATAATCGTTTATGTTACCCATCGAGTTTAACAAAAGATGCTTCGGGTTCAATTAAAACAAAAAAAAATCTTGTCGCATTCCTTTCAGTTATACGGCTTTGTTTTATTTTTAATAATAATGAAAGAAATTTTTATGAGTCATGTCTGTCAGCCCCTCATTAAATATTCTGCATTCTGCGTTGTATGAGAAAACAAAAAAATGTGTTCTTATAGCAAATTTTATCGAAATATCTCGGAAAATCGCGACCTATAGTTGCACACCTTGTACACACCTTATACCACAAATGATGTGGGAGTATAAAAATTGTAAGAAGGTATTATTAATTGGATCTAAATTTTCTTTGCTTATTTTATTTATTTATTTTTTTTAATTGAAGTAGAAGAAAGCATGCAAAACCCCTAACAGTATATTTATATAAGTGCGTATACATATATATATATATATATAGAGTTATTTGAAATTTTTCAGGTAAAGCTGGAAGATCAACTTCGGTGCACGAAATGCCTTTTAGCAGCCTCATCTCGCTTAGGACGAGCATTGGCCGAATTATTTGGAACTCTTGTAAAATTATCGGTTGGGTCACCGCAATCGCGTCCAAGACGTGTACATGACTTTGTTACAAATATATCATCTAGTAAATATCCAACTCCCGAGGCTAGATCCATAGCCCGAGTTTTGAGTTCAATATTAGTGAATGGTTTTTGTCATGAAAATTTAAAATCGAAACCGGCTGCTAAATTGAAGCTCACATTTTTAATTTGTTCGGTTGGTTTTACTGGACCAATGCTCTTTGACGATAAGAGGAATGCATTCCATTTGATGATATCGCAATTTTATCAGCAAAACGGAATAAAAGCATTTTTTGAAATGTTTTACTGGGCATTATCAATAAATAATAGTCCATATAATATGACCGTTGAAAAGACATTGACAATTGAAAATATACTTGAAGATTGTCCCGATGATAATTGTGAATTTCCCGAAGGTTCGGGTGAATTTTTATACGCATGGTTACAGCTGCTTGAGAAGATGGTCAATCCTACCGGTATATTGGATTCGCCTTATGAAGTGTCACCGCAAGCTGGTCAAGATGCAAACGCAATACAATTCGAACCAATATTTTATCTTATACAAGTGCATAATTTCGCAATACATGCCGTGAGACGGCTTTGGAATAGGGAACCAATTGCAAATTATGGAATTTTGATGACAACCACAATAATGACTATTTTAAAGCACATAGTAAAACCACAAAACTTTTTCCAAGAGCAATTTCAAGCCCGTATCAATGAAATTCATAATAAGAATCAAACTATAAAAAAACATTTGGAATTTGAATATTATAAAGAAGGTAAATTTATTAGCCCTACTAAACTAAGCACCTGCATTAAACTTGCAGATATTTGCACTGTGTGTGTGTGTGTGTGTGTGTGTGTGTGTGTGTGTGTGTGTGTGT